GTCAATGATTAAAATAATTTTTTCAAATATGTCTCTACTTAATTATTTTTTATATAATTCCTATCATATCAAATGGTATCTTTACATATATTCCTTTTTACAATAAATTTAAAATCTTTCAATAATTATATAATTGAATTTTTCATTATTCAAAAAATAATAAACTGTTGAGATGTTTTCAACAAGGCAATGCGTCGGGAACACCTTCAAAAACTTATACCGTTAAAAGAACCAAAGTGCTCTATTCCAAAGCTGCCACGTGGTGCCCTTCTTTTTCAATTTTTTATCTTTCTTTTTTATTTTGTAGACATTTTGTTGTTTTAAGTTTTTTAATTTTGTGATTTTTTCGGTTTAATTTTTAACCTGTGATCTCTTGAAATATACTTTTCCCTCATTTTAGTCTTATGAAAGTGATTTTTCATATGTGTGTTTTTTTTTTTGTCAATAATTAAAAAAATTTTCTTTAAATGCATCCATACTTAATTATTTTTCATGTAATTTATGTTATATCAAGAGTTATTTTACACTTATTTTTCTACAGTACTCCCACATAGTCTTTCCTACACCACCACGTGGTAGGTCCTCCCCCACCTTTTTTTTTCTTTTCACATTTTTTAATATTTGTTTTTTTAATTTTTAAATGTTTTGTTTTGTTCTTTTTAATTTTTTAATTTTGTGGGTATGTCTTTACAGTTTAATTTTTTATGTGTGTTTTTAAATATATATTTTTCCTCGCTTTATTGCTATAGAGGTGATTTATTTGAAATGTATTCCAATTTATTTTTTTTATCAATGGTTAAAATTTTTTTTTCGAATTTGTTTGTACTTAATTTTTTCCATATAAAACATGTCGTACCTAATGATATTTTTATACATTTTTTTCTCATAGTACTTTCACAAAGCACTTACGTGGCAGTCTCCATTTCGGTCATTTTTAACTTTTTCTATCTTAATTTTTTAAAAAGGTTTTAAATGTTTTGCTCTTTTATTTTTTATGGTTTTTTTTTACAATTTAATTTTTTACGTGTATTTGCTCTTTTCTAATACTGTTTTTTTACATCAAATGTTCCTTTATAATTTAATCTTTTAATAACTATCTATGTCTTGTTCACTTTGCGAATTTGAGTTTTCAATTCGAGTTGAGATGTGATATTTTTTGAGAGCTTTTCACTGTAGTAGAAAAAGTTAGATGTGACATTTTTTAAGAGCTTTTTACTGTAGAAACCTAAAACTGAAAACTCGAATCGGTAAAATAAACGATGCCCTAATCTAACATCTAAGGTACACAGCCAAGTGGACTTGGATGCTAAGGAGGCCACGTGTTGACCTCCTTATTCTTTTTTCTCTCTTCTCTCTGTTTTTTTTTTTAATTTGTCCTCTTTTCTTCTTTTTTTAAATTTTTAAACCTTTTCTTTTCTTTTGTTTATTGAATTTTTTTTTATGTCTTTTCCTAATATTTCATCTTTTTAGTAATATTCTTCCTTGAACTACTTTTTTTCTTACTTTATTTTAATAAAATAATTCGTTTCAAATATATCCCCATTGTTTTTTAGCAAAAATTCTTATATAACTTTAATTATTTTTCTCTTTTTTAACTTTTTCTCTTTTCTTTTCTTAACTTTTCTTTTTAATTTTTTCTTCTTCACTTTTACTTTTTGCTTTTTTTTTTTATTTTTTTTTCAAATATTCATTGATAGTTCATTTTTTTTACAATATAATTCTTTAAAATCCTTTTTTTTTCCTCATTTTCTCTTAGTTAAAATAATCACTTTCAAACGTCTTACTATTTAAGGTTTTTTTAATCAAAAACTGCTATATAACTTAATATTTTTTATATGATTTGTGAAAGTACTTATTTTTTTTCTTCCTCCGATCAATGAACTTAGATTCTAAAATGGGTATTTGTTTTGTCGCGAGATCAAATTTATAAAATTGTTTCCCCACGTACATAGTACATGGCTCAACTAGTTTATAAATAAAAGTGACAACTTAAGAATAATAAGGAAAGGGTGGTTTTATTTACACTCACTTTTTTACTCTCCATACTCACATTTTAAACACACATCCCACTTAAATTTGAATGGATTAAATTTACTTTTTTCACCATTCTCAGAAAAAAAAATTTTTGCACACCCATATTATTTCAAGATTACCCTTAACTATTTTCATGAGATTATAAATTTTTGACCATTTTATTTTTCTTTTCACACCCACCATTTGATTTTAATTTTCTCATTCCAATATATTATCATCTTTTAATCTCTAATTTTTCTTTTTGAAGGTTTGGGTGAAGTCTTTTCTCATACATAAAGGCCCAACTCATTTCATCGATTCGAGTTTTACTATAGTAAAAAACTTTCAGAAACAGTCACATTTAACTTTTTTACTACAATAAAAAGCTCTCACATAAAGTCACATCTCAATTCGAATTAAAAACTCGAATCAGCGAACTAAATGAACCCAAAGAAAATTTACTATTATATTTTTGTTGAGAAAAACATATAGTTTGTCATGATTTTATACAAGTCTATTATGTATGTAATTCTAAATATTTGGGTTCTATTGTGGTCTTTTATTTTTTTTACTTATAATTGAGTGACAATTTTTTTAAATTTTCGAGTGGAGTATCATAAATAATATTTTTTACCATCTTTAGTGATAAATTAATTTTTTTTCTTATTTTTTTTAAAGATAAAGGACAAAAATACGAATTGTCATATCTATTGAGGTATTGATTTAAAAAAGGCAAAATAAAGAAAAAAAAAAGCCAATTCAAAAGAGTATAAAAAAAAATAGAGAGATAAAAAGAGAATGATACATAAAAAGAAAACAAAACCCAATCCAACGTTATAAAACACAAAAAGACCGACATAAAATGATTAACCTTTAAAAAATAAAGGAAAATAGTAGGAAATAAGCCAATATAAAAAGTTTAAGAAAGTATATAGGCCAATTTTTAGTTATAAAAATTAATAGGTCATAACTTGTCAAGTTATGATTCATAACCAGATAAGTTATGGACAAACTTATCAAGTTAGGGTTCATAACCAGATAAGTTATGGATGATAACTTGTCAAGTTATGATTTATAACCAGACAAGTTATGGACGAAAACAGTAATTTGACATGTTTATTAACTTATGTAAACTATTGGCCTATTAATTTTAATTCATCTCAAGTCTTGGCATATTTTCCTCTTTCTCTCAAAAATAAACATAAAAAAGAACAAAAAAATCTTCATATAACGACTAGTAAGAAAAATTTAACATATGGCCATGCAATTTTTTTTTATAAAAATAATCATTGAAGAATGAAAATTAGGGTTGACTTCATAGCAATAACTGTTTATAATTGAATTTCAGGTGTGTTGAAAAAAATATATATGTAAATTAGTAATTGGATTTGGGGCTATAATATGTGAGATGTGCTGAAAGAAAAACTATGTAAATTCATATTCTTTTATAATAAAATTTAATTATATAATTAAGTCTTTATAATTGTCTTTTTAATCATTTTATGTGAGAGTCTTTTTATCATAAAAATTTTAACTTAAATAAGAGACACAAAGAGTAAAAAGGAGTCTGTGAATAAAATCTTATTATATATTGTCTTAATCCTTTTATAGTACCCCTAAAAAAAAAAATCCTTTTTATAGTACAAAAGTTGGGAATGAATTCACACGTCTTATTTTTCAATCACCTTTTATGTCCCTTTAAGATTATTTTATATTAATTAAAATTAAAATATTTTAACTATCATAATTTTTTAACTGACGTCATATGAAATTTTAATGGATGCGACATTTTAATTAATGTGATATGATATTATTAATTATAAAGAGATATGAAAATAGACATGAATAAATATAGGTATGAGTTGATTGTAAAAGGATTTTTTTTTTGTAAAATATAAAAAAGGTTGATATTTTTATTTGCAAAATGACATCTTTTTAAAAAGAATGAGTAAATGTCTTTCTTCATAAAAAAATAGAAGAATGTCATTTTGTTAATTTCACTTTGTTGGATAGTCATTCTAGCATATTGCCTCAAAAGTTGATTTTAGAGTTGGTGGACAAACATTAATTAATAAAGGGTTACTTTCGTAAATGGCTCTTGAGATTTACTAATTTCACTTTAGTCTTTGACTTTTTAAACGTCTCACAGTTAGTCTCTGAGATTTTATTTTATTTCAGTTTTGATCCTTCCGTTAATTAAGTTTTTAAAATTTAATAAAATATGTGTAAATTAAAAACAAATTAAAAACAATTAAAATTTTGAGACTATATGTGAAAATTAATTTTTATTTTTTGTATTGTTTTAATTCATAAAATTTATGGCCGTGTTTAGAATTAATTTCGTTTTTATTTTTTACATTTTTCAAAAAAAAAAATGAAAATGTTTTCAAAATGACGTTTGACGCAATAAAGATAAAAAACAGAAATGAAAATGATTTTTTGGTTTAGTGTAAAATGAGAGAGAAATGAAAAACGTTAGTCGTTTTTCATTTTTTATTTTCGTCTTGAGCAGAGAGAGACATTAATGAGTTTTTTTATACGGAAAAAAATCTCTTGATAAAACTACTAAACGCATTTTTAAAAATAATTTATGTATGAGATTAAAAACGTTTTCATTTTAATTTTTATAAAAAAAAAATCATTTTGAAATGAGTTCCAAACGCACCCTATATGTTTCTAATTTTAGTTCCTAATTTTCACATAGAGACTAACTTTGAGACGTTTTAAAAATTAAGGATCAATATGAGATGAAAAATAAACCTTAGAGACCATTTGTGAGATTAACCCATAAAAACACAAGATGACTCGGATTCCACTAACCCGACCCACCACCAAAACTTATCGTTTCCCTACTCAACTGCTTCTCTCTGTCTTTCTTTAAAAAAAAAAATAATAATAATAGCAAAATTACGTTTATTTTTTTTTTTCCGTCTTCGTTTAAAAACGGCTTTTCATTGTCAACTTCTATAAATACCTCCCCAATTCAATTCAGTTTCAATTACGTATCTTGTTTCATCTTTTTTTGTCTTCTCCTCGCTCTTCCCAATTTACTTTTGTTGCTCATTTCCGCTCAAAGCTTCTTCTCCAAATTCAGTTTCCCAGAAGCCATGTCTCAGGTCTTGATTTTGTTATCTTTTCTCTTCCTAAGATTCTTTTCTTTCTAATTGTGCTTTTTGTTCGTTAATTTTCCTCCCCTGATCTCTACTATTTTTCCTTTTTTCGTTAAAGACCCAATTTTTCATCCATTTATGATTCGAATTTCTGTTTTTGCCTTTAAGCTTGTTAGTCAGTTTGATGGGTAAAGTCATGATTTTGTATTCTTTGATCACCAGTTTTAGATTGCTTGTTAGTTTTGTTAGAAGCTCATCGTTTAAGTTAATTTTGGATAACTTAGGGTTTTGGTTCCTCTTTTTTATTTCCCCACCCCACCTTTTTTGGTTGAATTTAGGTATTTTTTATTTCGAAAATGAAAAAGATAGACATGGGAATCAATATCTCACTTTAATGAAAAGATGAGAAGTGTGTGGTGACAAAGTGTTAAATCCGAATATTCTCTTGAGTGGACGCAAAATATTCTCTTGAGTGGACGCAACTGTTTTGTTTTTGATCTCTTTATCTTTGAATTAATATTTTGCTTTTAATTATTTATAGGTTCATGGGATTATAGAAATGATGGTTTAATTAAGACACGCATTTTAGTGTCTATATCGCATTAAGGGCACATATATATTTTTTTAATAGATATTTTGAAATATATCAGAAAGATTTGAATCATTTGCAGTTTGAATTTAAACTGAGTAGGTTTTGAACCTTAATATGATCGGGTTTCTGCTTTAAAGGCTTCAGGAAAATGTTAATTTTTGAGTAAATTCTCGGAATTTCAGTTAAAAGCTTGAGAGAATGCCGTTCTCTGCTTTGTTTTTTTTGTTTTGTTTTGTTTTTTTGGTTTTTTTGTTTTTTTCCCTGATACTTCAATTTGGGTATTTCTTCGATTTTGTTGTACAATCTACAATCTGAGTTTTGGTTGGTTTTGCTGCAGACCGTGGTTCTTAAGGTTGGCATGTCATGCCAAGGCTGCGTTGGGGCCGTGAAAAGGGTCCTAGGGAAACTGGAAGGTTAGTTGTTGTCATGTGTCCCTTGAATTTATATATATATATATATATATATATTTTTTTTTTTTCTTTCCTGGTTATACTAATGTTAGAGATCAAGAATTCTGCATCACGAGGGGTTTGATGATCCCCCAAGAAATTGCGCATTGGTATAGTGGCCGAAAAAAGAGAGGAAGATCAATTTTTCTCTCGTTTTGGATTGACCTTTTTTTGCTTATTCCTTTCATTTTATGCTTATATTATCAAGTTTGATCTGTTCTTTTTCTCTTTTGTTCCTGTTCTAATCTTGTGCTATTACTTTATGAGAATAACTCTGTTTGGTCAAAATTTGTATTTGTAAAATATATTTGCTTGACTGAAAGTCGCTCTTAGTTATTTCTGTCAATGAAGCTCATCTCTTATGTAAAAGCTGTTTTGGAAACTTACTGAAGAGATTTGATAGCCACTTATCTGCATCCCAGCTTTTGAGGCCCTGTTGGGATGGCTGGATATAAACCAAATATTAAACATGAAAATAAGCACATTAAGGATTAAACTAAATCCTGGTTTTCGTTCACTTCATTCTGTTTTCTAGTAGTTGGAATCTTGTTACCACTTTTTATTATGATTAGCAGAAAACTAAAGTCAACAATATAAATAACTCTTGTGATATTGTATCAACATGTGAACGAATGATAATTTTCTTTGTGACCATCTTTAGGTGTGGAGTCGTACGACATTGATATAGAGCAGCAGAAGGTGACAGTGAAAGGTAGTGTGCCGCCAGAGACAGTTCTTCAGACCGTCTCCAAAACTGGAAAGAAGACTGCCTACTGGGAAGCAGAGGCATCTGAAGCCGAAGCAAAGCCTGCTGAGGGTGAAGCAAAGCCAGCAGAAGCTGAAGCAAAACCGGCAGAAACCGAATCAAAGCCTGCAGAAACCGTGGCTGCTGCTTGAAGTCCCTACCACTTTTCCATTGTGGATGTAGGTCGGTTAAGGATCTGTTGATCTGTTTTATATTGATAAAGTTAATGACATGTTTGTTATTTGTGGATTATTCCGTGGGCTCTTACCTGTTTGTAAGCTACAATATCTCATCAGTTGGCCTGCTGTAATGGCCTCCTGTATAAATAATTGAATAGAGACCACGCATTTGCTGTTTCTTTTCTTTTGTTTCTCTCTGTTAAAGAGGTCATTGTATACCTTCTGCTTGATTTGCAGAAGAAAGTATATGAAAAAACTTTTATTAGGAATGGTTTGAATGCTTTTATACCTTCTGTGAGATGGTTTTTCAGATTGATGAAAAATGGCTTTATTAGGAAATCAAAAGAAGGAAGTTTTTGCTGAATTATGCAACTAAAAAATCTTTTATATTAGTCCCCTTCTTCCTTCTTGATGAAGAAAAGGTCCTGAGACGTATATTATTCTTTCCACTGCAATGAAAAGTTTGAATGCTTTTTTATCCTCTTTAAGCCTATTGAAAGTTTAAAAAACAAATATTCTAACATGTTATTCAATCATATATTGTTACAGAGTATGCTAGACATGCAAAATAACATGTTACTTTTAAATAGAGGATACGAGTGTTAAGAGAAACGACATGTTTTATTATTATTATTATTTTATTATTTTTTTAATTTAAATCTTAGTATAGTGGAAAACGGACAGTAAAGAAACTAGAAAAACGGATGTATTTGCCAATTCCATTGCTCTTGGTCTGGTCCATGGGAAGACCTGGTGCATTCTTAGAGGCAGAGTTGTCCATGGGAAGACTATCGGGTTTGTGTGAAATAATAGGTTAACTGATTTACTCCTATTTTTATTGTTCATCTTCTTTTTTTTTTTTTTTTTTTTAATTATAAATTAAGCTTCCGCTCATGATGTCTACATAAACAACCACTTGTTGAAGCAGTGCTTCAAAAGGAAATCTGTTCCTAAGACTGTTTTGATCTCCGGGTATTCCCACATGGGTGTGCAAGAGGCTCCATCAGTACTTTAGATAAATGGTTAATTACTGATGATTATGCATATGCTGCTGTTATGCTGCTTCTAATTCAAATGCTTTAGTTTGCTGTTTTTACTTGTTCTTTTTTATGTTGCGTGGAGAACTGGAATTTCTTTGTTAGGAATTGCCAATTTGGAGTGTGTAAAACAAGGAAACTGAAGCGTTGCCGTCGATTATGCACAGGGATTACATTTTCCATCTATGCTTGGGGTGTTCACCGACGCAGAATAATAAATGCTTGAAATAGCTCATCTTTGAACACTGAACATGAAAGATGTAACCCTCTTGTCACATAGAACCATGTCCAAAAGATAAAGAATCAACATGGTTCATCATTTGACAATCTGTGCCGATCTCCGGCCGTTACAAACAATGATTTTAGGATATGCTCAACATGGTTTAGAAGACGAGATTTGGTGACAGCAGTGCCACTAAATTCCATGATCAGAGAGTGAAGCATCTAGCTTGAATGGTCAGCATTTTTGCTCACATAAAAGAAACTAGAAGAGCTAGTGTTTGAAAGAAATATCGAGGATTCACCCAGAGCACAAATGAGAAATTCAGTGTTGAAGGCATTGAATAAAGATGGAAGGGTAGAGCCGAGTAATCTGTAAGTTATTACAATAAATTTCAGCAAATTAATCTTACATCAGGTCTTAAATGAGTTGGCGTTTCCTATTTGTTTGGTGTAGCATACCTGCAGAGTTTCAAGGTCTTGTGGGACTGTAAGAAGAAATTAAGCTTTTTTTTTCCTGGGTTAGGATGAGAAGAAAATAAGGCAGGGATGTTAGAAAGAATTAAAGGCCCGTTTAGTTCGCTGATTCGAGTTTTTAATTCGAGTTGAGATGCGATTTTATGTGAGCTTTTTACTGTAGCAAAAAAGTTAGATGTGATTGTTTGTGAGAGCTTTTTACTGTAGCAAAACTCGAATTCTAAACTCGAATCAGCAAAATGAACGGGGCCTAAGTATTTGTTGAGATGGAATCTCAATTCAACAGTAACGTGAAACTCAATTTAAATATTCGATATAGTAAATTCTCCCTACATCTTACAAAATTTGGAAGGCATGAGTGATTATGTCAGACCCTTATTGACAAACGTTTACACTAGGAGGGGTAAGAGTGAAAAAAAGACTAGAGTTGGGGGTCAAGGAGTAATTTCAAAAAGTGACTAGACAGGTGACGTGGCAAAGGCAAGTAGGAATCAGGGTATTTGGGGGGCAGGAAAGGGTTAGGGCAGGGGGGTTGAATTCCCTTGGTTGTCTCTATACTGTTCCCACCGTCGGTGGCTAGGAGTTCCAGAGTACTCGAATTCTCTGAGTTTATCGTGTTAGATTGTCTACTGTAATTGTTGTTTGCCGGTTAAATTCAATAAAAACTACCCTGATTCCTTTCAATTTCTTCTCGCTGTGCATCTGTGTGTATGAGTTGTGTGTGTTTGGTTGTGATTAACTAGATTCCTTCCAAACAGGTATCAGAGACGTACGATCCATGGTGCCCAAACCAGGAGAGACGGAAAGGCTGGTTGCAGCAGAGAAGGGGCTGACGACGGTGCATGAAGTGGTGCAGTCCCTGACGTCTGAGTAGATCCCGCAGATCCGGGAGGAAATCGGTGGGTGAGGGAGGAGATGAGAAATCAGATCGGCGGGGTCCACGAGGTACTGCGCCAGCTGGAAGATCTCATGGGTCGCCGGCTAGCTCAGCCGGAGAACGCGCCGGAGCAAGGGGAAGTGGTCCCGCGTGACCGAAATGGCCCGAATCCAGGCGATTTGCTACAGGGAGGTCCGATTGTCACCAACCCAGTCGCAGACGAGGTTGCGCCGCCTCGGGATGGAGGTCCGGAGGTCGGGCGACGGCCGCGCGAGGCGGCGGGGGTGGTTGGACGCGGCCTGGACGAGAGAGGAAGGAGGCGTGGTCCTGTTAGACCGCCGGATCTGGGGTGGGAACACCAAGCCGGCCCAGTCAGGGAACCTCCGAGAGAAAGGGGTGGACGCCTAGACCGGGAACCCAACCTCGATTGGGGACCCATGGGGGCACGACGTGGTAACCACCTCGACCCCAAGTAGTGGGGAATGGCGGCAGAGTTGGCGGGGTACCTGGCCACCGAGTTGGGGAAGTTTAGGAAGAGAACGAGGATGAACCTAGGTGGGCCAGGGGAGGACAGCCGTGGGATTGGGAGCGGGGACAGCGGCTCGAGACGCTGGAAGGTCGGGGAAGAGGGGACATACGTGGAAGGATAGTGGAGATGCCGAGCTTTTTCGGCGAGGACCCTTATAGGTGGCTGTTCCGAGCTGAGCAATATTTCGATGTGTATGACGTGCGGGAACGGGATAAGGTGGCGGTGGCTTCCATGTGTATGGAAGGGCGAGCTTTGAACTGGTTTAGATGGACTGATTCTCAAGATCCGTTTGGTGAATGGTGGGACTTGAAGGTAGCGATTAGTGTTGAAAATGTTTGGCCCGGCCCGAAGCCCATTACTGTGGGCCCGGACCCGGCCCAGCCCGAATCAGTACAATCCCGAGCCCGGCCTGGAGAGCCCGAATGGCCCAAAGGCCTAATTTTTTTTTTATTTACTTGTTTCTGGCCCAATTGGCCAAGCCCAATGGTAATATTACTGTTGGGTTGACTCACTGCCGTGAGGTAGTGAGTTTGCTTTTTTTTGTTTTTACTTATTTCTGGCCTTTTTTTTTTGGTTTACTTGTTTGTTGTTTGAGTTTCTGACTCACTGTCGTGAGGTAGTAAGTCTAAAGGCAGAAGGCTGGAGGATTTTTTTTTTTTTACTTGTTTGAACTTTGAATGTTTCTGGCCTTTTTTTTAGTTGAACTTGTTTGTGGCCCAAGCGGCTAAGTCCAACGGTAATATTACCGTTGGGTTGCCCTGCCGTTGACTCACTATCGTGAGGCAGTGAGTCTGAAGTAGAGGGCTACAGGCTTTCTGCTTTTTTCTTTTTTTTCCCCTAAAATTCTTAAATTTTATCTATAAATACCTCTTCCATTAACCCATTTTTTTTCATACAACACAACTTTTACTCTCTCTATTCTCTTCTTATTCTCCAATTTTTTCTCAACTCTCAATTCTCACTCACATTAATTCTCTCAATTTTGTTATTTCATTTTTGTTGGAAAAAAACTTTGGTGATTCTCTAATCTCTACTCTAGTCTCTACTTCAATTTTCAAGTCACAATTCCATTATCCATATCATGTAATCAAGGTATTGATAAATTTTAGAATTATGAATGTTTTAATTTTTTATATCTAATTTATTGTGAATATTTAATTTTTAGTGTTAGCATGTATTAATATGTTTATTGTTGTTGTTATTATTATAGGAAATAGAAAATGAAACCAAATATGTATAGGTATGATCTTGATGGTGTTGACTACTATGGAATGGATAATCAAGACATTGAAGAAGCAACAATTCAACGAATGGAGGCGGGTGACCAAGTAGGTAACATGCCGCAAAATATCAATATTCACCCGAATCAACCATCATCAGAAATGCCGACGGGCTCAAGTGGTTCAACATCATCAACGACAACAAAACATGCGAGACAACGTGCAGAATGTTAGAAATACTTCACTACACAAAAGAAAATTGACTTTGGAGGTAAGAAAATAAAATTAGCTACACGTATATATTGTAAAAAAGTTTTGACCGTAAATTCTGTAATTGGAACTCGACACTTAAGAGATCACGGAGTTAAATGCGCTAGACTACGTCAAGCCAGGACGGAGCCTACATAAACTCAACTTCAATTAAACCCAGACGGTTCGGTAAGTACTTGGTCCTATAATCCTCAAGTTGCTAGGGAATCTTTATGTCAATTTATTTCTGCTTTAGATTTACTTATTAATCTTGGTGATAACCCACATTATGAATTGCATATTCAACGTGCATATTGTCCTCAATTTTAAAAATTTTCTAGAACTACTACTAGGAGTGATATGATTGCATACTATGAGAAAATGCGTCTTGCATTAATAGTTGAGATGGGTGCATTAAAATTTTTAATTGCATTAACCTCTAATATTTGGAGTGGTAGGGCCAATCAAGGTTATTTGAGCGTAGTTGCACATTATTTAGACTCTAAATGGAATATGCAGAATAAAATTATTGGTTTTAGACTTATTGATTGTTCACATATTGCTGACAATATTGTTGAGAGACTTGTTAGTGTTATTCAAGATTTTGGTATACGAGACCGCCTTATCTCTATCACCTTAGATAATGCTACAGCTAATGTAAGGGCGATATCAATGTTGGA